TAGGCTATTTATTTTCAAACTTTTTTTTACATTTTAATCTGGACTACAACATGCCCTAGATATTGTTTGAAAGTGTTTTGATTCTTTATTGTTCGGTCACACTTTACATTAGGGCTTCATTAGTTAACATTAGCTTTTGCTCATTGTGAATGTTAATGCATTAACTAAAGGTTAACTAATGAGGTCTTATTGTAAAGTGATACCTATTGGTCTTTATAGTTCTTTTGCACTTTAATCTGTGTAAAACTTTTAACTTTATACATTTTTCTGTATTGCTTTATTGCATTTAAATGTTCAGTTATTTTTGTTATAAGAAAAAAGTTAAATAAACCTGTTATACTGTATTATGGCAGCACTTTTTTTTAAAACTAAATTTCAATACCGTGATAAAAGCATAAGCAATTAATCGCAACATGAAAATTTGATACCGGCATATCCCCCTAAGTGTAAGGTGTAATAAGTGGGGAGTACAGGATATCAACATTAGATTCCCAAAGTAAGATGATCTAGATCTAGCTCTCTTTAGGGACTGGAATTTTTTTTTTTTTTTTTTTTTACAGTTGGCACACAGACAGCTCTTATTTTGTGTGACAAATAAGTCGGGAACATGGAAACATTTAAGAGAAAGCAATATAATTTAAAAAAAGAGAAAAGAGAACAGGGCAGCAAGCAGAGGAGAAATGCTCAGACTCAGCAATGCAAAAGAGGAACTGGAAGTGAAATGCTGGCACACAGCAAGCACCCTTTTACATGTATGTTCCTTTGTAACATCACTTAATGCTTTTAGTTACCGTGCTGTACTAATTAGTTACTAGAAAAGTCAAACAAATCTGATTACTCACATTAAATAGCCTGAAATGAGTTTCCAAAGAAAATTCTGTTGAATAAACCTATAGAATTGTTTTTAGAATCTTATTAACATATTGCTGTGCAATTTATTATATCTCCTAATAAATTAGTAGATCTGATGCACAACTAGACCTGCAAGTCCTATAAAATCTACCTGCAGTGTGCATTCACCTCATCCAGCAGTCTACTTCACAGCGCACAAATCCTCACATCAGCTTAATCAGTAACAAAAAGAGCTCAATATGAAATATCAGGTCCATGGTCATAAAAAGATCTCTGACCTGATAACGCTCTCGATCATCCTCATTCATATCCACATGACCAAACGTTTTTGTGCTTTAAGTACTTTGGTTGTTTTAAACTGCTGGTCCTCTTCATCAGCTTCTGTCTCTCTCTGTTCCCCGCTCTGTCTCACTCTCTATTTGTCTACTTCTTGAATTTCGATTTGTCCTCGCATGAGCTACATTCATTAGCTGCTGCTTGCTGGCGTCCGCTGATCATTCTGATGGTTGTGAAGGTGTTGGCACCGTTTGCTGGTGTTTCCGCTCTTGCTGTTTGACCTGTTGAACGATCTCCCTTATCTTGCGCTGGGCAGTCTGCAAACAAACACACCGTAGCCGAAGATGACTGGGGCGCACATGCAAATACATTATGTATTGTACATCAACAGATAATATTTTAAGAACCTGAACAAATCATATGTATTCCTGAATAACAAGCCTTTAGTTTGGACAGTCTGGCCCAAACCACTCTTTCATTCAAGCCTCATTCAAAACTGGTTAATGTTCACAATGAGAGAGTGAGCAGTCTAAAACAGGAAAGTCAAAAGTACCAGTACTGTAGCAACAAGCTGATACCAACATTGGGAAAAAAAGATGAATTTATGAATCTTGCTTATGACTAAGGACAAATCTCATGAATAGTAATGTTGCTTTGTGACCATCCAGGACCTGCCAATAGTGTAAAAGAACTAATATTCATGGGATAATATTTGTGCTCTGGTGGTTCTAGGTGAACTTAGGAACTACTGGTCACAAAAGCAAAACACAGTGAAAACTGCAACCAGTAGTAGTTGTAAAGTAAGCCAGTTTCTACCACACTGCAACTAGGGCTGGGTATCGGCCAAAAATTTCCGATACCGATACCTTGACTTCGATACCGGTTCCTGAACGATACTTTTTCCAATACCAATTTTATAAAATCAATTTGAACAAGATTACATTATCTAAAAAAAAATACTTTGGTTTTACTACATTTGCTACATACTACATACATTGGCTACATTTACACTAGTGCGTGTTCGTTTTAAATCGCATGAGCATTAGCAGCTTCCAGTGCTGTCTGCCTGTGTTCTCTCTTCCATGATCGCTGCTCTGACTCAGAGTCAGAGCAGAGGAAAAAACATATTTCAGCAACATTACATGGCCAAAACACACATTAGACGGCAATCGGAAGTTATTACAAACACTCGATGGTGGTTTAAAGTGAGTTTTGAGTCAAAGTGGAATATAAATCTTATTTATTGTCTTATGTAGCATGATGCTACAGTTTGCATGAATGGTCACATAACACGCGCTTTCGGTCGTGTAGTATGAATGGACATCTGCATATGATCGGAACTCCACGCAGTTCCCGCGCTACTCTCCATTGGAAATGAATGACTGAATGACCGGTCTGTTGCTTGTCGTTTGTCGGAGATAGTGGAAAGCCGGCTTGAAACGCAGTGGAAATGCCAGTATGACGAGGATCGTTTTCATTTTAAAACATAAACGCACCAGTGTAACTGTAGTCTTACATCTAAGGGCGCTGGGATGCATTCGCACTACAGCCTCACGTGTGCATTTCATGACATGTGTCATGTCATGATTATGAAGGTGTCATGTCAGTCTTATGCACACCCCTTCAAGTAAAGTGTAACCGAATACTGTTTGTGCGCAAAGAAAACAAAAATAATGACTTTATTCAACAATTCTTCTCTTCTGTGTCTTCACCGCATGTTCATGGGAGTAGCCTCTCATAGCTTTATGGTAACATAACGGTTGAACCACTGATGAAAACACACCTAGTGCTGCAGGCTTATTGGCTCACTGACGCTGATGAGCTAAATCCCTTAGGTATCGAAATTTGATACCGAACGACAAGGCGTTTTTCGATACTGGATGGTATCGAGGCAATTCAGTCGGTGCCTAAAAAGTATCAAACTCGATACCCAGCCCTACACTGCACATACTTCTACCATACTGCACTCTGGTAAGAGTGTAATGGTTTGGAATTACATAAGGGTGAGTAAATGATGACATCAAAACTACTTTATACAGGTTAAAACGGGTAGAAATATGTATTTCTACCTGAAGTAACAACTGTAACAATTGCAAGTTACCACTTTTTTCAGGGGTGACCTGGTATGACCCTGGTGTTTAAGTCAAATAAAAAAAAAATAATACAAAGAGTTTAAAGGCTGGGAAAATGTCAAAATCATACCTGACTGGCAAAGAAATGTCCAATTATCTTAACAAACACTTCATCATTCTCATCTGGTGTCTGGTCCCGTGGTACAATGACCTCAGCACTGGTGAGATTCTGCAGCTCATTGACCTGTGGTTGGTAAGAGGTCAGAGGTCACACAAACAGATTGCAAGATGCTGAGCCGACAGACGCTTTACTTATCTCCCCACCATCAGACTCTTCATCGCTCAGGGCATTTAGTGCTTCTTATCATGTTTAGCATGTTTTGGCTAAACATTCATAAACATTTGTGGCATTCATAAATCGCCTTCTTTTACTCATTTTGTCTTTATTTATGAAACTGATAACCGCTAATTCAGTGAGTGAAAGGCGTTGCCTAGCAATCAGTGAGTGAAAGGTGTTGCCTAGCAATGTACAGTTAAAACATAAGCATCACGAAAATGACAGCGCGAACATACAGCCATTATATAGCGGGTAAATTTGACCCGTGCTGGCGCTTATAGGTATTAATGCCCCCTTTTTTGATCTGGTTTTATCTAAACAGTTTTTAACAACAGGGGATTGTAAATCACACAATTTTAGTAAAAGTCAGTGACTGGGAGACTTGAATGTTTTATTAAAAATCTTTTATGTACGTTTTAAAAACACGGGTAAAATTTACCCCGTGGCAGTTCTAGTGTTAACCCGTTTGTGGTGAAATAAAAATTTGGAAGCATTTGAAAGCAATTTCTCTGACTTTGTGAAGAAAAAGTGCAGAAAAAGTAAAAATGAACACACAAAGTAACATATTCAGTAACAGTTCCTTGATAATCTGATCTGAAGTGTTTTGTTACTACCAGGTGTAAATAACAATCTGTCTCAGTTGACTTGTGTGTTTTTACACAAGGTTTTAACATGTGTCTTTGGCGATCCAATCTCATGTACACAATGCACACATACCGTTTTGCCACCCTTCCCGATGACTCGTCCGGCAGCGGTCGAAGGCACTTTTATATGTGCCCCCAACTTCCCTTCTTCCTTAGCAGTGAAAAAATTCTCCTCTTTCAACTTCCCATATATCCTCCCCTGTGCCTACAGCCACACACATACACAGATGAGTAAAGGAGAAATGAGGGATGAATATAGATATCGATGTAAAGCACCCTGGGTCCTGCTTAATGGTATTTGTACCCTGAAGATAAGGAGCCTAAATGACTGAATGATGGATTTTACCTTGAACTGAGCCTCTGGTGGTCCAGTGATAATTACCATTCTCTCAGGATCATCAGGATTGTCTGCTGCAGCAATCTGCAGTGACACAAAACACCACTTTTTTTTTTTTCCGTTCTGTCTTGATTTGAGTACAAAAGACCACTTAAACTGCTACAAGTGTGCAGTGATACCTTAATACACCGAAAACAAAAATTGGTAACCTAAAAATGTATCTAAAAATCTATTTTATTTTACAGGTTAATGCCAGTTAGAAATAGCTCTTTAAGGTAACAATTGCAGGTCATCACTTTTTACAGCACGTACAGCTCAAGTCTACATTATACAACACACTTTTGCTGGAAACACAATTCAAAATATTACTGATTGTTTTCCATTTATTTTTTTCTAATCACAAGTCATAATTTAGACTAAACCACAGCTGTCAATCAGCTAAATAATGTTCAAAACAAAAACACATTTACATCAACAAATGTAAGATTTAGAGACAATGCAGCACTTGGTGAAACTAGCAGTTCCATCAGATGGCCCAAAACAGTAGAAACATCACGGTTTTCTTAGTCCTGTATAACAAGAAGGGGTGGAACGATACATGTATTCGTACTGAACCGTCACGGTACGGAAATCTCGGTTCGGTCCATGAGGCCTTACAACGAATACAGGCGATTCACCCCCAATCCAGAAGGGGGCGCCCGCAGGAATGCAACGCTGTTTGATTACCGGCCGCCAGCAGAAGAACAGCGAATGCTGTGAGTTGTGCACTTGAAAACAAAGCCCACTAGACAGTGACCATGTGCTGATTCTGAATGAGTCTCTCACAGAATGACAAAGGAGTATACTTTAAAGGCTTGTGCACTCAACTGTTTGTGAAATGGAGCTTTGTGCTTGTGTATCCTACCTCTCTCATTTGGCACAAATCCAAATATTCCATAATATTTCCATATTTGCGATGTAACGTATCTGAATGCTAAACTATTATTTATTATGTAAATTATAGG